AGTTTCAGTCCCTTAATGTGATGGATATATATGGATTTCTCAAGAGTCTAGCCTGGTTCGCAGGCCATACTTTTGCCTTGCTAGAAAAGGCATTCTTTCAGCTTCCTCCTTTATTTATTTTTAAAAATTGCTTTTAAACACTCAAGTCACATTGCTGTTGCACTGGGAATTGTTTAGAGGAGCAAACTAATTGATAATGGAAAAATGGCTGACAGACTTCTTCATCAGAGATACATGGCAAGGGAGCTGCACTATATATTACATGATTTGCGCTCTGTAGCTCAGCAGTGCTCAGTCTAAACATGCAGAGCTTTGTGCCCTTAAGGGCTGTTCTGTGGAGGAAGTTGGGGAGAAAGAGGACCTCAGGCTGTAGCTCTGCTCATCCCGCCTCAATGAATCACTGATATGGGTGCTAATCCCCCAGACATTCTTAACCATGTTATTCTGTTACATTTATAATAGTTTCCATAACTAACCTGTTCTGATTTTAAAATTGTAATAATATCTTGAGGGAGTAAAACCTGAGGTTGTAACTTGAACTGTTGAAATACGTCATGTTAATTATTTGGAGTCCAAATCCTTATGCAGTCTTGGTCCCATTTAAAGGTTCTTTGGTTCAAATGCCTGAGAAACTTTTGCTGAACATTTTTAAAGGATGATATTGGAACCACTATCCATAAAATATTTTAAGAAAAAGGAAAAAAAATGTCTGCCATAGATTTTGTAATGTCAAAAGTTTGGCTTAATATGTATGCAGCAATGATTAATTTAAGATATTAAATCTGTTCAGGCAAGAATGCATGTACATATTGTAATGACTTCCTTTTCTTACAATTAAAGTAATTGGATTATATTTAATGAGCTATTTACATTTAATAATTAAGAAAAGACTTATCTTTCCGGTATTCCCTAAGTTCAACAAACGGAAGGGTGGGGGTAGTCAGTACTGGAATATAATTAACAAGCTATAAGTTGAAACTGAAAGAGCTGTGGGTCTGTTGTGGAAAATTCTGTTTTATTTCAGTAACTTATAATTGCTATTGAAAAAGCAGTGCATAACTTAAAATCTGAATTAAGGGAAAGAGCTGGTTATTTCTACAGACTTGCTTGTGACACATTTTTGGGTACACATCTTGGAAAATCACATCAGATACATATTCCTAGCTGGATGTAATGTGAGAAAAAAGCAAAGGGAAAATAAACATGCTTCTCTTTGTTTAGGGAACAAAGCCATACTTTCACAATCTAACTCATGCAAATTTTAAGTGTTGAGAAGACAGAGGGTATTACCCAGATGAGAAAGCAATATGCCACCCAGATGCAAATGAAAGTGACTGAACCATCCTCAGTTGTGTTTAGATACTGGAGATAATCCAGTTTGCTGAAAGGTGCATTAAAATTCTGCCTATTCTCACATGTCTTTTAGTTATTTATGGAATACTGTTGAGCATGGGAGGAATAAAAGAACCAAAGTCCTATTATAAATACGTTCTGGTCTGGTTACCTGGAGGGGAGGGAATGTTTTTGCCACAGGCAAGTAGTTATTTACAAGGTATCTTAACCTCTTTGTAACTGCTGCTGTGGTTCGGAAAGGCACATCCTGGGTTAAGTATGAACAAACTTATGCTGTAACCTGCACCACATGGAGTGCGAACCAGGAACCCTGATTTGATTTACAAGGCAGGAGGAGCACAGGCCCAAAGATGGCCTCAGCACTCCTGCCCTGTATAAGATGCCTGCAGCCTTCCAGTTGTGGAGGCTTACAGGCATCTCCTTTGGTTTGCCCCTTAAACTTCCTTTTCCAGGTGAGTTAATTATTGTTATACATGTAAACTGACTGATTTTCTTATTGGCAAACAAACTACATTTTCATTCATCTCAGTCTCGAGGAAATATAACGGAAATTGTACACAGTGGCAAGATGTTCTTGGTTGTGCCCTGAAAGGTAATTGTAGAAGTGGCTTGTATCCTTAGCTGTATTTGAAATAGTAAATTCTAATATCGAACAGATTTATTCCTAAGAAAAGGCGTAAAGTCTAGCTTCTGTGGTACTTTTCTTTACCATAATCAATTTAGTAAGTAATACACCTAAAATTCCCCATAAGGTTAAAACATTTGAAATTGTTTGGAAAAGTTACTTGGTGTTAAAATCTTGCAGAAAATTAAAAAGTTGTGACATTAAACATAAGCCTTCCAGATTGACTCATTTCAATTTTTTTAAACTTTCATTTGCATTAAATTAATGTAATACCAGAATTTATCCATGGTTCATACTATTAATATTCATACTTTAAGTGTATCTTACATTTGCTTTCATTTTGATGAATAGCACTATATATGTTGTTGGATTACAACTACCATTCTCCCTGAGTATTAGTCATGCTGGCTGAGGAAGTTAATGGGAACTGTAGAGCAACATGTGGGGAAGCAAAGTTGGGAAGTGCTACCATGTAAGAAGCATCACACAAGTACTTCACACATGTAAATAGAAATGCATAGAGCAACTATTAAGTAACATAGAAACAGAGTGAGTCAGAAGGGGTCTCCCGGGCCATCTAGTCTTGCTCTCCGGCTCTAGCCAGCTCCGCTCACAACATGACTGTCATGTGCATGGTAGGCCATGTTGTAATATATAAGTAAAATGTAAGTACTGTCCATAAAACATTTGGCATCATGAGTGTTCTCTTTTGCAAGCCTCTAGACCTCAAGATTAAAGAAAAAATTCTGTGTAGCTGTCTATTTCCATGGCTACTCTTCTGCTCCAGTTGTCCTTACCAGAAAGATCATTTTTGCAAAACCCTGGAAACAGAATGAATTGTCACACAGAATTACCAAATGCTGACTATTCAGACTAGCAACTTTTTTTTCCGTGCCACATCTGGACTGAGCTACAGTAATATTTCCGGTTTGTGGGTATCAGTATGAGCAATAGCTTGGGATTTTCCTAGTGTTGCATTCATTGAGCCAGGAGATTATTTCCCTTCCCCTGGTTCTTTGGAGAGAAGTAAAATCTGTTCCAAGGGAGTGATTAGGGATATGTATTACATTAGTCTTCTGCGTAGGAAATCAGAGTGTAGGGTCTTATTTGTGGTGAATATCCAAGCACAAACATGAGTGTTTAGGGTTTTATTTCTGGTGGACATGCCTGCACAAAGCCATTTCGGACATTTGGAAAAAGAAACCTACTAAAACCTATACCTGCCCTTTCCTGCCAGTTATTATTTGGCTGCTAGCTGTAGCTGGGATGTTAATGACAGATTCATTTGTGATATTTGCAGTGATGGGAAAGAAATGCTCATTACAGGTGGAAAGAAATAATATATAGCATCATGTGGCAATTGGTTCATAATGATCACTTGATACTGTTTGCTGATGCTCCTTCCTTAGTTTCATGTATACCTGTGAATATTGCTCTGTGCCCCTGGCAGAATTTTCTGCTGATCACCTTTTTATTTTCTGCTCTCTACATGTCTCTTCATAGTTTGCCCTGTGCTTTCCAGATTTACATAAATGGTGTCTTTTCCTGGCTGTTTCGCAGAACTGTTACTGCTGAAAAAAAGCTTGAAAAACTAAAACTCTTTGTCTTAAGAACTTTGAGGAAACTGTTGGCCTGCTTTAGCAGGATACAGTGAGACCTCTAACTGTATTGTCTGATGGGAGTTTTAGATTTCATTATTGTCTTCTTCCTTGCTTCCAGTCCTTCTGCTGTGTCTAGTCTACCTCTGGGCATTTCTGAATAGCGGTCCCTGAGAAAGTTATGCCAGAGGGTTGTTCTGCCTGGCTTTGCTGCATGGAACTGTAAAGGAAGGCAATGTTTTGCAACCAGGTATACTACAAGGATTTTTACCCTGAGTGTGCAGTGCAGGATGTCATCAGAGTCATTGCAACACTGTTTGGGTATAAAAACCTATGAGGGGGGTACTTGGTTGATAGAGGACGGCCTTTACAGCATTGCTAATTTTAAGTGTGTTTACACAGATGGTGTCTAAGAGAGAAGCTTCCACAGCAAAAAAAAAAAAAAAAAAAAAAATGAAATTAGTGGCTTCAACATAGGCCCCTGTCCTCTTCTCCCTTCCTTTTTCCTCTAAATAACTTGTGACACAGGCTCCTGGTTTCCTCTAGAAATTTATCTGAAGCCTTTCTTGCTGTTATATTAGGGGATGGTGGAACATGTTGGCTTCCTTCCTTTCTGGGTTCTCTGATTGCTTTCAAGGGGCCAGCGGGGTGGGATGAGGAACTTCAGCTGTTTGGGACCAAATGGTTATTCCCATGAGATTTTTTTTCTGGGCGAACATTTGTGATCTTTGATGAGAAGTTACCTGGTTTGTTGAGCAACATGACTGTGGCTCTGTGTGTGCGCTTGTGCATGTGTGTGTCCGTGTGTTCTGTATCCTAGAAGAGTTTACTTAAATCTCCGTGGCAAGAAAGTTTAAGGCTTATGTTGTTCTAGTCAAAGCCCCACCTTGCAATTGTGATCCTTATGTTCTTGATGAGCACTCCCTTTGTAACAATTCAAACCCACCATGCTAATAATGCCTGCATATAAGTAATAACCTGTTTCCTGCAGCCAATCTGCTATTAATACATTATGTACAGGTGGGAAACCTCTGTCTCTGACATGGCTGGTGTTAAAGTGCCAGAAATAACCAGTGAACCTCATAGAGCACAGCTCAGCCGTTTCTGCTTTCCAAAGCCTAAAATAAGGCACCATTGGGGATTAGATCAACATTTGACTTGGGATGTGGCCTGCCACTATAGGGAAAAAGACTGCTGTTGTAGGATCAGGGATTATGTTTGTCCAGATCAGTCCCCCCCCCCCCCCCCCGCAGCCTGGTGCCCTTCAGATATTTTGGACCAGAACCCCCAAATTCTTAACTATTGTTGATGAGAGTTAAAAGTCCAAAATATCTGAAAGGCATCAGATTGGGGGTGCTGATGTAGGTCATTTGTTGGGAGGGTGTTCACACCCAAGTGGCAGGCGCCTCCAGTTCTGCTTTTCTTTGCTAGTGTCGTGCGAGACAGTCCACTATGGAGATGTTTGTATAGAGATAATGCTCCAACTTGATAATGATATTGTAGAAAAAAGAATGTCCCCCTCTTCATTTTTTATAGAGTAAGGCTAGAGTACAGCTGGAAGTTTAAGTAATGTGTTCTTACTTTATTTATTTATTAAATTTGTATAAAAGTGGCCCGTTAGCATCATGCTGTCTGGGTGGCCATTACAGTAAAAATGTCAATAATAACATTAAATAAAACAGTATAGTTAATATTGCAATAAATAAGATAAACAATATATGTATATTCAGACAAAAATGTAAATTAATAAGACCAGTGCTGTCAGTGGAGATGTTTTAAGTCGTTCTATAGGTCCATTGAAAAGAAAAGCTTTGTTAGGCACTTAAAACACAGTAAAGTAGGTGCTTGACAAATCTAATGGCAGGGCGTCCCCCAGTTGGGATGCCACCACAGAAAAGGCCCTCCTTGCAACCTCCCCCTTATCCTCCCTAAGAAGGAGGACTTGTAGGAGGACCTCCATCGATGATGATCTCTCTGTAATCTATTTCAATGTGACAAGTGACATAGTGATTCTCCTTGACCCTTCTTTTTCTTGGCTGCTGCTTCCTCTTTTGTTTGTTTTATCCCCTCTTTTTGACATTTATCTTTTTCTTCACATTAGTACTACTGTCGTGTTTTTCTTGCATATTTATGTTGAAGTGTTACATTAAAAGATCGGAATGGTGCGTTCTTGGAAGCAATGGAATTCCAAAATGGAATCCCTGGATTAACCCAGCAACTAGCTTGGTGGTGGTGGTGGTGCTGGTGGTCATCATTGTCACTGAGCCAGATTGTAGTTGCCTTGCGATCAGTTACTTGCCACCAGGTTTGACTATAGCTTCATGTCCTTTTCCCTTGCGACTTGCTGCCCCTCATCCCTTCATTTTCTTGTAATAACAAATTTAGTTTTATTAGCTGTTGTAGCTTTTCTTCATAGCTTAGCTCTTTCACACTTCGTATTTCATGAATATGTATTTAGGTTATTTGCGGATATTTCCCACAACTGTGCAATGCACACTCAGGTAAACTCAGATGGAGTTCATAAACCTGGTCCATCCTCACAATCTCAATTACTTTTTATCTGCTCTTATTACTAAACTCTAGAACAAAACAGCAGTTCATGCTCAGGACATTGCAAGGGCTTGGTGTTCTTCTAGTGACTGTTGAGGAGTTCAACAAGAAACTGTTGCACATTTTCTTTCTTTTCTTTTCGCCTTTGCTCTTTGTTTATATTCATTTATTTGATTTCTTTTCAACCTTTGGATTCCAAAGGATTTTTTTCCAGTGGCTTCCCAGCAGTCCAGAGTGTGTCTTATGAATGCCTCAGTGGGGTCAGGCTGTGAGTGTACAGTTGCCCAGAGTCCATTGCTGTTGAAATTGCTATCCAGGTCTCTAGTCCCTTAGATGAGAGCTGTACAAATAATTGTTCTGCTGTGGTGTGAGGGAAATGTCACTGATAAAGCAAAGTCATGCTTTGTGTAATGCACTATTCTTGGCAAAAAATGGCCTTTTAATACCAAGGCCTGTTTTCCCCTATAATGTTTAGAGATGCATGCTCTGTTTTTTGTAGATGGCATTGTGCATTTTCCTCCCCTGTCCCTGGGCAGCCAGTGTGGGGAAGCTTAGCATGTGAGGCATATGTGGAAAAACTCAACATGATACTTAGCAACACTAAATGATCCTTGGCATTATAGAGAACTCAGTACAAGGATCCCCTTAAACAGGAAGAGAATTTTCTAAGTGGCCATGAACGGCCAAGCCAATGCAACTATAGGGATATTACATGTAATTGGTTTTATTGTTTTTAGTGTTTTAGCATTTGTAATATTGATTGTTTGTTGTAAGCCGCCCAGAGTGGGATGGTGTAACTTAGCGACCTGTAACAGCATGGTTTGGACCCAGTGACCTTCTTGGCCTCTTTTCAACTCTACTATTCTATGAGTCTAGAGATTCTTGTTGGGCTCATGGGTAGCATATAAATTAAAAATAAATATTGGCATAGATTCCATGTTTCCAGTACAGAAGAAGTTTGTGTAGGAAAAACCATTAAGATGAAGCTGCCCTTAGCCTGAGTTAAGTTCAGATCTGAGTTTATCAAAGAACATAGTGCATGACTTTGACCTTTTAACCTGTTTCCTACCTATAATCTTATAGGTAAACAACCCTGCTGTGTTAACGCAGCTGAGTGAAAGGCTGCTTTCTGTGCTGAGAAGTACTGCAAATTATCTGAGTATTAAAAACATATCTAGAAGTGTGTCCATATTGGAGATTGTGCTTACTGATACTGCAAGCTGGCTGACCTCTGCAGTACCCGGGCACAAGACATCCCATTAAGAGGTGGATAAATTCCTGTCAAGATTTCCTGGCTCTTTTTGGCTCTGGCTGTTAATTTCTTGAGGTTTTTGTAACCTCATGTTACACATAAAACCTTGGATGCTGTTCTGTGCCCTCCAGATCTTGAACTCCTCTGCAGTAGCAGGTCAAATTTGGAAATTCAGATTTTTGGCTTGGGAGGTAATTAGCAAAAGCTAATATCTGCTTCATTCCCTTAACACCCTGATAGAAAAGCATCCAGGAATGACTCCTGGACCTCAGAGATAAGCTGCCAGCTGCCACAGAGACTATAAAAGGGTGGTTCAAAGTCAAGCTCAAACAGCTGACTTTAAAAGAGAGAGAGAGAGACTTGGTTTGTTGTTGGTGGTGACAGGAAGCCGTGCTCCCCAAGCAAGCTGTCAGCTTCCTGCTTTTATTTTCCCCCATGCTATCCACAGCAGATCAACGTCTTTGTCATAAGACATCTGTCTCCTCCGGCAGAGTTATTCACCATTTGACCTAGGCGGGGGTCCCTCCCTTGTCTTCATTAGCCCACAAATGGTAAGGTACTTTATTTTTGCTAGTTGGATAATCCATAATCACTTGGTTCTGTTCTTCCTCAGAGCTTAAAGTTCTCAGACATATCAGTCTTATTAAAGATGGAAGCCCTGGGCATGCAGACAGTATAAATAGACTATATTTGTTAGGAATTATGTGGGATGACCATTAACAAAATATTGACATTCTTACTTATTTTGGAGTATGTGTTGATTTTTTTTTTTTACCCAGACTCTGTAAAACACAAAAAGAAGCTGCTTTCTTCCAAAGATCAGGATAAATTAACTGCAGATGCTTTGGTAATATCTGTTTTTGGAGAACAAATAAGTGTTTTTCTCAGGAAAATCCTCTCAAATCTTGTAATTTAATTTCTAGTGGTAAGATCTCCCCCTGACAAGGATTGACTCCTCACTGCTGTCTGGCTTTGTAAAGCTACCTGTGTGCACATAGGCTACAGTATCTTTAAAACCGCAGCTGCCTTAGTGGGAAAACCTTCCATCACAAGGGACTTTGGGGAAAATGGCGTAGCCCTCAGGCTAAAAAGCAGTTGCTAGCAAGCTTCCTGGTCAGCTAAAAGCTCTTCCTGTTTTCTCATGAGAGCCCAGCTTATCTGGCACAACAGAAACTGTTAACCCTTTCCCACCTAAACAACAGTGCAGTAATGGTGTTGATTTTTCTGTCAGCCGTCCGTGCTTTTGGGGATGCGCTCAGCAGTGGTCGAAAGAGCTAATCTAGGTGGTTTTGAACACATGCGGAGTAAACAGGCTAGAGCAGCCCTGTGTGTATTCTGGTTATCTGGGCACTGTTCAGTTGGCGGTCCAGGTTTTTCTGCAGCAAGCCATAAAACAGCAGGCTCCTTATTCTGGAATCACACTTCTGGTAGGTTTGTGTGTGTGGTTGGAAGGGAGGGATGCTGTGACTTAGATAAAACTGATTTCTGGGCAGGGAAATGAATGCTGCACCTAGGATTTGTGGATGAGTAATCCTTTTCCTGTTCGGGATATGCGTTTTATCTTTCAGAACACCGCCTGAAGCTGGTCCACCATGCCATTAGTAACAAGAAGCATTGAGCCAAGGCACCTGTGCCGCCAGACATTGCCCAATGTTCCAAATGAGCTGGAATGCGTGACCAACATCACCCTGGCAAATGTCATTCGACAGCTGGGCAGCCTGAGTGAGTACCATGGCAAGCCTGCATACTGCCCGCAGGAACGGTTGGGCCCTCAATTTGGCTGCCTTCTCTCCTTGTGTTCCTATTTCTCCCCCATCTGTTTTCCATGGGTAGTGCTAAAAGATCTTCCTGGTAAAACCTTTGTGAACTTTGATTAGAAGCGCAGATGGAAGGAATACAAGGTGGGTTTTTTAAATGGCCTGCGTACAGAAGCCCTGGGCTGAGAACCTGCAGTACACCGAGATCATTATCAAGCACAGCTCATCTGTTTTCAGGATCCAGTAGAAGTAATCATTTATCAGAATCCTCCAACAATAGAGCAACTTGATGATTTAAACTTGCTGCATTACTCACTTGAAATTCCTCAGCAAAGGTTGCAAACAGCCTTTAAGCCACTTTTGGTGTTGTATATTTTTGCAAATGACAAATATGGACAATTGGCCCGAACACTATTTAGCTGGTCTGTAGCCATGTAAAAGACAGGATTAAAACTTTAGACAGAGACTGGGTAAAGTGAGAAAGCAGCAGTCTTTGTTTTACCTCTTCTAAAATGGTTAAGGGATTGGAATAGTCTTTTACAAGAAGTAATTCACTTATTCATAAATTTGTGAGGTAGGTAGTCAGAAACTGTTTTGCAGGAAATGTTAAAGCGGAATACTTGGGCAGAATGTCATTTTGCAATTCATATTTCCTGAGCAAGCATGTGTGCTACCTGGTCAATTTGGACATACTGATTTGCAACTAAGTAAGTTGTTATATAATAACAGCAGAGTCTGAAGCCTTTGATTCTGTAAATCATATACCTTTGTTCAGACAGAGTGTTTTGTTTGGCTGCTTTCACTATATACATGCGAGAATATTAAGCCAGTTAACTTATTGGAAGGTTAATGGAAGTCCAGTTGAACAAGCTCGAGCAGTCATCTTCATCTTTATTCATCAACCAATTCCCAATACTGGGAATTTTTGCAACTTTAAAAAATTAAGTATATTATGCATTTATGCATAAACATACATAAGACCAGAACTTTGTATCAACAAGGGAAAAAAATGGGCTGGTCTGATAGAATCAAATGTTCATAATGTGAGAATCAAAAACATTGTATAACTCATGTGGTTGGAAGGCATAAAATAGATCGTCCTAGCAAGATGCAGAGGAGTCTGATCTGGATCCCATTGGTCCTTGGTTTAAGGAGGAAGCCTACCCTGCACATGCATGGTACTGACAGGCAGACTCTTTACCTCTGACTGGCAATAACTTCACAGGTTGGGTGGGATAGACAAGAAGGGCCCACTGAGAAATCAAAGCCAAGCAGGCCCTTCACCAGCTGTGCACCTCTTCTGTCTCAGCACCCAAGTGGGCCTTAAGAAAGAGCAGGTGTGGGGTGGGCAGAAAGGCCGTTCTTCTTCGCTGCTTTTGCCAAGGGATTCTTACACAGTTTGGCCTGACCACGGCCTATTGTGTCATCTGCATTTGGTTGACACACTGAGCCATCAAGGACTTCCTGAACACTGGAACAAGCCATGGCTCCTTGGAGTGATTTATAAGCCATCCCAGGGTTTCACGCAACATACCAATCCACCCCTTCTGTGGCTTAGCATGTCACGTGAACCCAGGCATTGCTTCTGATTATGTATGTGCTTTTTTACAGACCCAAGTAATATCATGGTTGACCCAGTGAGGCGTTGTGGTAGATCTGTGTGCTGCTTTCTCCCCTGCCGCATGCTGCCTTCCTCTCCCCCACTTGGGCAGAGCACCAGCACCTCTGCTTGCAAAACCAATGTGCATACCTGAGAACTTCCAGTGTGTGGGGCTGCCACTGCTTACATTTTTGAGCTTTCAAAAGCAGATGGTAGTGTATCAGCAAAGAAATCTGGATGTCGCTGTAGGATGGAACTTGTGGGAGGCAGTCTGCTGGTGGACCTTTTGAACTATTCAGGAGTGTTGCTACAGCTAACGCCAGAAAAATTTATGTGGACAAATCAAAATTCTTCCCACTGTAGTGTGTCATCTGAGACTGCTTGTATCTTCACCTTTGTTACTTTCCTGCCCAACAAAAAAAGGGCTGCAGTGAGCTAAGCTTTTGAATTGTTGGCACTGTTTGGTTTTCTCCCAGTGCAAAAATTGGCAGATGCAGAAAGCCTGTCTCTGCATCTTTAGGAATAGCTGAATTCCCTTGAGTATGTAGGCATTACTGGAAAAATAAAATACAGGTCAAATACAAGAGTAGGTGTTGCAGTTAATCAAAGACGTGTGCCGAAAACGGTGGGTCAGAACCACCCCAGAATAAAGCACACCACTTTAGCAGAAGATTCCTTTTGACCGAAAGTGCTGAGCACGTGTTCTTTCTAGCAAGTCTAAACACCTAGTGGTGCTGAACTTACTAGCGTTTATTGGAAGGCTGTATTTTGAGTATATCTCAAATCTGGGATCCATATGCATTTTGAAGCTGTGAGGAGGAGCAACCATGGTTTAACTGGTGGTGGTGGGAACCATGTCAGGTTGTTTAGAGATGGGGGAAGAACAAGTGGCTGTCTCTGTGTCTTCAGAAGTATGATGTTTTGCTTTCCTTTCTCTCCTTTCCAGGTAAGTTTGCAGAGGACATATTTGGAGAGCTTTTCACTCAGGCAAACACCTTTGCCTCTCGTGTGAGCTCTCTAGTTGAGAGAGTTGATCGGCTTCAAGTCAAAGTCACTCAGCTGGATCCCAAGGAGGAAGAAGGTAAAGGACCAAAATGATAGACATTTTGGCCAGCTGTTCTAAAAACCCTTATCAGCAGCTGAGGAATGCCTGTGCCACTGACATCAACTTGAAAATAGGGTGGGACACTTATTATTCAGCAGTCAAATGTCAAGATATTTCATGTAATCAAAAATAGAATTGCACTCTACCTTCTAATTGTTTCTTGGGGGATTCCTTGGCAGTAAATGGCTGAAATGAGGGCATCTTACCAGGCAGTTTTCAACACTGGAAAGACACATGCCTGATCTTCAGTTAGGGCAGAGTTTCTGACCTCTTTCCTGAACAAGTCATATGGCCTAGCTTTTCCTACTGGCCATGTGATTTGGCTGCAGGGATTTCTGAGAAAGAAGAGAGAAACAGGGTTCCAGAAAAATTTTGAAGCACACACACACAAGCTATTATCAGTGTGTCAAAGAAACACAATTACTACTAAATCCATTGCATTTGCTAGCGGGAGGGTTTCCAAGTTGAGCCAGCATGATGATCTGCGTGGCTTTATTGTCCTCCAGAGGATTCTCATCGACAGTCGGATTTATCACAGCCACCATTTTCTGTTGTAACTTTTAAAATAGTTGACTGACTGGCTATTTGATGTGGCGTTGGGTTGCTGTGAGGGGCATGGACCGGTCAAATGCAGCCCTGAAATAAGCTTTTCTAAATGCTTATAGGTCTCTTAATTGACTGTAGGAGTTTGGGTATGTCCCCGTATTTTATTTAAAACGTTCTGCTAAAAGAAAAATAATTCTGTAGCATTCTGGTTCCTTAGGCCATATGCATCCTTATTGGCAGTTAATTCCTTTTCCAGGGTTCACACACAGCATCAGATGAAACTGTTAAAAGAAGTTTATCTTGAAAAACCTCTTTAGAGAAATGGCAAAAGGATCCACGTTGTCACTGCAGAGTGAGTTCTGCAGAGAGAACTCAACAAATGCTGGCTTAACTTGTGCTTTGAGTTGATTTCTCTGTTTTTCTTTTCTTCCTTTCTCTCCTTTTAGTGTCCCTGCAAGGCATTAACACAAGGAAAGCCTTCAAAAGCTCCACAACTCAGGACCAAAAGCTTTTTGACAGAGACTCTCTCCCTGTGCCTGTCCTTGAAACATACAGCATTTGTAATATGCCTCCACCTCTTAATATCCTCTCCTGCTACAGGTAACATGCTTTGTATTTATAACCAAGCAAGAAGACTGCCTATCCAGTTGATAAGATTATGAACCTGCCTTCTTCCCTAAAGTCTGTGGAGTGGCTCAGGTAGCTCATTACCACTGTCCATTCAGAGCATTGATGTGCCTTCCTTATAAATAAAGGCCTGGTCTGTTTAGTTGAGAGGAGAAATATTACGATTATTGGAGAGGGAAATTCGGAAGGAAGGATACAGATTTGTAAGAGGAAATGGGGGGAAATTTCTCCTGTAATATTGGACTATAGAATAATTGAATGAATTCGCTACTTGATCTAAGACCAAGAATAACATACTACTTCATATAGCTTATTTTGGGTGAGTTCTCACATCATAAGCCACACTGCGAACAACCAGTGATGGTTTGGCTGATCACCATGTGCCCAACAGAAAGTGGTTGCTGTGGGTGGTCCCTTCCCCTCCTTCCTTCTCAGTCCTCCAGGTGGTAATTCATGGCACCTGATACCTCCTGCAGGCCTCTTGTTCCTCATCACTGCAGTAATTGAATTATTTATAATTTCCTTTGGGTATTATGCTAATGGTTGTGGCTAGAAAATTGGTGATTTACTCTCTGGTATAGCTTGTGATCATAGCTTTTAAAATCACGCCACAGGGAAGCGAAATCCTGATAGCACTACATAAACATCCAGAATTGCAAAGCCAACATTTCTTTTGTTGATGCGCAACCTTTTGTGCAGTCCAGCTGTTTTTTCCCCGCTTCCATGCATGCAATTTTTAATGCATATATTTGCATGTTGAGTTGCCTGCAGTAGGTGCAGGCTGTTCTTCTGGGCAGTGTGACTCTGTGCTGGCCGCTCTGTGTGGTGTCAAGCAAGGGATGCAGCTTCGGGTGGAACACTGCAGTAAAAGCAGACATGCATGCTTCTGACCCTCTAACTATGCCCTCACTGCCTGTAGGGTAATGAGCCTAGTAGCTGAGGAGCGGGGGATGCTACGTGGTCTGGAATACAAATGTCTCCCTGGCTCATATCCATAAATATCTTTTCCACATGTGAAAGGTAATTACAAAATAGCTGGAGGTAACTATCTTTGAGATAAAGGCTACATTGCAAAGGTAACAGTCTACACTGTAGAAAAACCCTGCTTTGTATGTCTTGAAGGTGCAGCAGGCACCTTCACTCGTATAGGATGTGACTTAAGAGATGCAAGCGGGAAGGGACTGAATCAGTGTTTTTATTTTAAGAAGGCAGGGATCTTTTTTACAAGAATGTGGTTTCTGCACCTGTTGTGTGTGTTGCATGTAGGCTTCAGATGAAACATTTGACCATTTTGCTGAGTCTCTGTCTGGCTTTTTTCCTAGGGATGATGGCAAAGAAGCACTTAAATTCTACACAGATCCATCCTATTTCTTTGATCTTTGGAAAGAGAAAATGCTGCAGGACACCAAGGATATCATGAAACGGAAGCATAGGGTGAGAGAGCTTGTCAGTCTCGTTGTGTTTTTAACCCTTAAACAGAGCAAGGGAGGGGTAAGCCTAAGAGCTGGTCCCTGTCTGAATCCAGGTGGACCTTCGTAAAGGTGAATGTGGGCAATTCTGTCAAACAACTGGATTGGTTCTTTTGATTTCAGATGAAGCAGACAAGTTTTCTACATAACTTGCTTCATAAGGGGTTTGGTGTTGGCACAGTCATCATTTTTCGTTAGCAAGGGTTATATTTAGAGCTGCTTTGCAAAATCCTTTGTATGTTGCTAACATCTCTTTTCAGTGCCTAAGGATGGAATTCTCTGTCACTGTCCACTGAACACAATGGGGTTTACTTCAGAACAAACGTGCATAGGCTTGGGCTGCAAGCTATTTACTCTGAAGAAACTCATCAGATGTGTACCAGGCAGGGATAGTCACACATTCTGCAAAGGATAAACAGCATTTGGAACCTTTGCTCTGTTCTCCTCTGCAGTAAATAAATAAAGCAGCGGAGGGATTTTGCTCAGAACTAATATTGTGAGCCGGTCCCGCTTTGCCTTCCCTGTGCCTTGGTGTGCAGTCTGAATTGCTAAACCCTCCCGTTTTCCCAGAACTATCATGGTGGAGTGGAAGCATGGGAAGAACAGCCCCCAGGCCAGGATGGAGGTACACAGAGATAGTCACCTGTTAGGCAGCATAGAAATAAAACAAATAAATAGATAAAATACAGCATCTGAGTCAATTTCCCCCTGCCTTGATATGACCTCTTTAGGTGCAGGGGGGATCAGCATCTCTTTGCTTTCCAAGAGACTATGGAGAGACAACAGACTCCTTGTTCTCACTCAGGAAGCACTGTACTTGCTTCTCCCATTGCTGTGGGCCAGGAGCTCATGTGTGCATTGCATTTTTCCGGCATGGGGTATCTTCTCCAGTGACATGGGGGAAGGTTTTTTTTTTTCTTCAATTTATATCCTGCCTTTTTCCTACAAAGAGCTCAAGGCAGTTTACATCATTCTTCTCCTCCATCTTATCCCCACAACAACAACCCTGTGAGGTAGGTTGGGCTGAGAGTCTGTGACTGACCCAAAGTCACCCAGTTGGCTCCATGGCCGAGCAGGGACTTGAACCCAGATCGCCTGAGTCCCAGTCCCATGCTCTTATCCACTACACCACACTGGCTCTCTTTTCCTTCCCTGCTGTTTTCCTTCCCTGCTGATGACCAGCCGTGCATCTGCGTGTTTGTGCGCTCGGATCCTTGTTACTGTTTCTCCAAGAAAGGCCCCTAGGATGCCAGCATGTTGTAGGACAAGGTATCATTCCTGTAATTACTAACTATAGGAATATGGGAATTGATACTGCACAGAAGCGGGCACATCAGTTGTCCTTTGAAGGTAAGAAGTAACATGCTGCTTGTTGCAGGTAAAGCTTCCTGAGAATGAGAGAGAATGTTCCGTTGGCACAGTAGAGCGTCCTCTTCTGCCTCAGCCCTCTGAACTCCAAAACAGGGAACAGCAGTTAGCAATCTGTGTGCATCTTTGTACAGTGCCCCTGCAGATTATTGGGGTAACCACAGTGAAGAGGTGCTGTGCAGAGTGCCAATATGTCCCTATCTCAAGAAGTACCGTTAAATGGAGGACCAGCCTAATAGTTAGCTGCTACTTGAGGTTTGGGTGAAGTAACTGAGCAACTTGGCTGCTGAAGTCTCTAGAAGAGCTTAAAAGTCTTTCTGATTTTATTAGAAAAATATTCTAGCTTCATCTTTTGGTTCAGGAGGGGACAGTTTATAGTCTCTACAGTATCTATTTTCTAATTTGATAAGATATGCTCCAGCAATGAGGAAACCACTTCTTAAAGGTTTTATGAGGTACTCAGGTTTGTGGCTGGACCATTTTTACTCTGGTCAATGCAAGAAAATAGGGCAGAACTGCGCACTAATATTTCTGAGTCTCTTCTAAGAGGTGTGTTTTTTACATTGATTTATTTATAGAAAGAAAAGAAAGATAATCCAAACAGAGGAAATGTGAATCCTCGGAAAATCAAAACCCGGAAGGATGAATGGGAGAAAATGAAAATGGGACAGGAGTTTGTCGAGTTAAGGGAAAAGCATGCCCCAGGAGGGTAAGAAAAACCAGAATGCTGAGCATGGCTTATCTGAACATGAACCACACTGCTCTGATGTCTCTCTGATTGCATAACTGCAGTCTGGAGAATGCCTTTTCTTTCTTTAGTGAACATTTGAGCTTGAGAGAGCCAAATGCCTCAAGGTCACACAGCTGTGGACTCATTCCTAACACCTCTCCTCTCATCTCAAAAACTTCATGGGAGAGAAAGCTGCCTAACGCCACCTTCCAAACAGCAACCTGTTTATGTTACGAAACAGATTGGCCGTACTAGGTTAAAGTTACCTTCCCCAACCTGATGCCCGTCGGATGGAGGTAGACAACTGCCACAGTACCCCAGCCAACATGGCAAAGAGCCATGGAACCAGTGACCAGAGCTGGGCTACCCATTCTGTCAGGCCATGATCTTTGAGCTACTGAAGAAGACTTCCCAGATGGTCCCTTTTCGGAGGCCCTTAATGTGTGCCCACTAGCATTTATTTTCCACACTTACTTGCTCCAGTAATGAACTGGAAGTGTCAATTAGGTGTCTTGAAAGGCTTTTTAATTGCATTGGCAAACAGGTGAAACTTGAATAATTCTGCATATTATTTTTCCGTCCATCATTTGCAGCTTAGGCCTGTCAGGTAAGACGCACAGTAATTTTTTAAATTCTCTGTGAGTATTATGCTGAAGCAGAGCTGTGCCAGAAGAGACATAATTAGGAGTGGACTTAAGTAATTTTTTTGATGTATTTGCTTGCCTCTTTCACAGGATGCTATTTCATATGAGGGGAAAGGTGGGAAAAGCACAGAGTAGAACATTGTTGGTGTTTTCACCAGTGCTTATTCTTCAAATAATTTGCGGCATTTACTGTTTCACTGTTTTGAACTATGTCCATATCTGGTTAGGTCACTGGGACACAGACGGGTGATTGAGCTTCAAGGAATTCAGCAACCCTTTGCCATGCTGCGGCTGTTCTTTGTAAGAATACATTGCTTTGAAGGCAGCCGCAGAACCTTCCTGAGCTTGACCATTTCCAATAGCAAATGGACAATCATGTATTGATATTTTTATTTTGTAAAGAAGTGTGCACATAGAACTCTGCCAGAACGATCACCCAACAAGGTCGAAGGGGGCTCTTCACCTACAGGGAAGCAGTCAGACATGCAGTGACTTATCTGCAGTCTGCTGTTAGGCAGTCCAGAAAGAGCTGAGCTGTGCTGTGTGAAACTTCCACCCATTTTCTGTCACCACCACTGTGTTCTTCCTCACATTGTTCCTGCCATGTTTGAAAGACTTGACTAAGAATTACAGGGTTAGGAAAGAACTGAAGGCAAACTTCACCCAGCCTTTTTGCCTGAATGTTCTCTTCACCCCACAGCGCCTATTTATTTTTTATTATATTATATTATATTATATTATATTATATTATATTATATTATATTATTATTTTCAGTATCACCAAATAGCCAGTCCTCTCTAGGCAGTGTACTTACAGGTATTAAATACAGTAAAGTACAATATGGGATTTAAACAACTGCTAAAAACAGTTGACAATGCCCGCCATTTCCATGGGCAGTTTAGAGCTGGTGAACACCTCAGCAAAGAAAGGGGTCTTAACCTGGTGCTAAAAAGTTAGTTTAAAAAAGGCAGGCAGGCCTCAGTGTGGAGATCCTTCCTTTCCATGTTCTGTTTCTGTTCTGTGTGCTAATGAGCCCACCTGCACTTAAATGCAGATAAATATGCAGACTGGTGGATATGCATGCTCAGCATAGGCAGAAAAGGAGTGAAACATTATTCTCTGCAGATGTTTTTAGTAAAGGGTCTAAGCAAATGAACCCACCTGGCTTCAGTGCTTGAAGGTATGCAGAGAGAGGACCGGTTGCAGTCCAGACTACCAGATAAGTTGTTGCGGAGTATCAGTACTGGAGCAGCCTGTTCTTGATGGGTGTGCCTTGTGCTTTTTCTCCTGACTTGAATATCCTGCAGTGAAGCCTTGGCAGCGATGAAACTTGGCTGGTGAGGCCGCTGTTAATCGTAACCATCTTTCTGTCCTTTATAGGTACCCAGCTAATATGGTGTATCAGAATGGCAGCATAGGCTCCAATGAGAGCGTTGAGGCCAACTACTGCCCTCCCCCTCCGCAGCCAGATTCAGTGTCTTCATCACCCCCTCCGTTTACAGACGATAGTCTACCACCACCACCAATGGAATTTAGGTAAGCCCTGCTGTAACTAAAGTAGATGATGCAGAAAGGAATTCTGTGGTGAACCATTTTCTAGAACAAGTGCTCAGGAAAGACCCTAACTAGCTTGTCCACAGAATTTTCATCCATGAGTTCTGCAGAAACAGTTTGGCAGGAGAATTGACGGAAGTTATTTTTAGTGCAACCCATAAAATGCCCTGCAAACAGATGTGCTGCCCACCTCCTTCCTTGCCAGATGATTTTTTTTATTTCCACTTAATGTGCTGCTTGGGATTGTTTCACACAACATGCAAGAAAATATGTGTGACACTATTTTGTGAAGCACAAGTGTGTTTTGCTGTGATTACACCTCTAGATGCCACTGCCAAGCGAATCGGAAAGGAAATAGCTACAGTTAATCCCCAAAGCAGGGAAGGTTTTTATGAAGGGGAGTTGTGGGTAGACGATTCCTGTTTGAAAAAGATGGGTATGACTGCATATACAACTTTCCTATAATTATCATGAGACCTAGGAACTTTATATAAATGAAATCCAACATTTCTTGGAACCATATCCTATGAAATATTTTGGTCCTTGCCATATTCTTCCTACAGATCCAATATGGCCTTTATCTTCAAGGTACCTTTTTAGTTATCCCTGTACTTTAATGGGAAAATGTTACTATGCTATGGTGGGGTTTGAAGGCACTCCCATTTGCTGGAACTTGATTTTTAAGGACCTGGATTTTAAAAATCTTTGAATAAACTGTTCTTTAAATAAACTAAATGCTTTCCGCATGTTTGCATCCACTGGAATCCTTCCAAAATCCAGCCGTTAGATGGAAACCTGAATATTATCTCTTAGGCAAAAATGACCTAATAAAATCAAGACGGGTTGATCTGGGCTTTGGGACCTGTCAGGATAGTCTGCAAGATAGTGTTTTCCTCTGCATTGTCATAGATGGCCTTGGCTTCTCTGTGGAATTTGTAAGACTAACAGAACTTCCTTCCTTCCTTCCTCCCTCCCTCCCTCTCCCCCCCTCCAAATCTCCGCTGCAGCAGCTATCCAGCACACAACCAAAACACTTCTGGAGGGCTGAAGAAGCCCGGTCTGGTCAGCCCAAGCCACCCTCCACCAGCTCCACCCATTAGCTCACCACAGGGGGCCAGGCCAGGGTTTGCACCGCCTCCTGCGCCACCTCCGCCACCACCACTGCTGATAGGCACACCGCCTCCACTCGAAGGCTTCCCAGCTGCGGGCATCCCACCGCCACCCTCCCCTCCCTCGTTCCCACCTCATCCCGGTTTTGCTGCCCCTCCTCCACCACCCCCTCCAGCCTCAGAGTATGTGGCTGCCCCTCCACCCCTGCTACCCCCGACAGGCGCTGGTGCACCGCCCCCACCCCCGCCCCCACCCCCTCCTGGTCCCCCTCCTTCCTCCTTTGCTGGCATGGATGGTCCAGAGGCGCCTCTTCCGCCACCAGATTCAGTGTCCTCCAAAGCCAAGTCCTCATTGCCGGCTGTCAGTGATGCTCGGAGTGACTTGCTTTCTGCTATTCGCCAAGGTGAGTCTCTTCTCATTTTGCATAGCCAGGGCTTTACCTCCTGAAATTCGACATTTCTTCTTGTTGCAGGGTTTGGAGTGTTACAAGCCTGTGCCAAGTAATTGGTTTATGCTTGTTTTGGTTCTTCTCCTCTGGTAGTCTTTTAACCTTTGTGTTCCACCAGGCTGGTTCAAGCCACACCAGTAGCAGAGGGCCTTTTATGAGGTTCCAGTTGAGGTTCCAGTTACATTTTCAAAGGGAAAGTGCCCACCATTGCCTGATCCCAGTTGACTTTGCTGTGACTCCTTGCATTTGGCACAGTCCTGCACCACCGTCATATCGCTTCCACCGTATTGCTGCTGTGTTGGGTTGAGATTTTTTCTTTTCCCGCTATAGAGAGTGGGCTTACCTCTCTCTCATTGCAAGTTGTTGTTTCATTTCTATACTGCCCCACAGCCAAAGCTCTCTGAGTGGTTTACAACAATCCATAAAAGCAGACAATAAAAAGGCAATAAAAACGTAAAATCAGGAACGAAAAACATTTAAAAGTTTAGAACAGCTAAAAGCAGACCACAACAGAGAATGACACTGCAGAATGCCTGGGATGGGTAATCCCACTCAAGCCCCTGCGTAGCCAAGTAAATCTTTTAAGGTCTCAGAGAAGAGGAAGACCTTAACCTGGTGGCACATTTGGCCCCAGTAAGCTCTCAGTCCAGAGGTTTTAGATACAAAGGGTTCACCATAGAGAAATCCCTTCTCTTGCTGCCAACCTTGGAGTTGACCCTCGGGGGACGGGGGGAGAGGTGGAGCGCAGTGTCCAAGTAGATTGCGGTTGGGAGAGGTTCTCCAACTGGTACTGTAGTCCTAAAATGTGTACGTCTTTATAGGTTAAAACCAGCACCTTGAATTGGGCCTGGAAATAAGCAGGAAGGCCAGAATTGGTCCTGTGTGTTTGGACCTGCAGGTTACTAATCTGCCTGCTGCATTCTACACTAGCTGCAGGTTCTGAACCTTCTTCAGGGACAGTCCCATGCAAAGTGCATTGTAGTAATCTAATTTAGAGATCAGCAGGGTGTAGATTACTGAAGCCAGATCATCCCTGCCCAGATAGGGGTATTGCTGGGCCCCCAGCTGAAGCTGGTAGGAGGCCCCAGGTGGCAAAGATGGCTCAAGGAACGTTTCCAAGCTACAATCCTGCTCCTTCTGGGGGAGCGCAGCCCCATCTAGAACAGGTTGGGCACCATCCAGTCCAAAACCAGCACCCACTAACAGCATCCCATTGTTGTTGGTTCAGGTAGATTAATCTGATTCTGAGAAGGAGACGCAGGGCGGGGGAGGACTTTGATATTTCAAGTTTATCTTGTGAAGTTTCTCAGGCAGAGCACGAGAACTTGAAGGGGCGGAAGGGTGTTCCGAAGGGGATGGGGAGCAGATGTAAGACCTAGTCCTGAACCCGATAAGGAGTGATGGGAGAAATGAGCTGCCTAGTTAGAGAGAGTCCAGCCTTCCCAGCATGTTGCCATCAAGCAGCAAGAGGGTGAAGTCAGAAGCTTTTCTGGAAGGAGGGGACAGAGGGAAAATTTTCACATAAGATTCAACTTTGTAGGTGGGCAGATGCTTCTCCCACAACTTTGGTTGAAAGCCATTTGGGGTTCATACAGTTTGGTAATCTGTTAAGTTTCAATAAAAGACTTTCACTTCAAAGGAATTTCTTGAGTTTGATGGCCAGAAAGAAAGGGGGAAGGGACCAGCTCATGACACCCTACATCTTGTTTATAACATCTAACTTGGCTTTTTATTTCACTTCATTTCTTAGCCGAAAAAGTTTTAAGCAAGCAAATAAACCCAAAATAAAAGCCAAAATAAAATGTTTAAAATGCAGCAACGCAAGTTCTAAGAAGCATGAACAGTTTAAAAGAAACAAAGCCCACCCTGCATTCTTTTTTCCTGAAACATTATATACCTAGCACCACTATTCCATTATTGCTTGGGGCGGGTGTCAGCTTGGTCAGCACAGTAATCGAAATGGTGCAGCTGACCCTCCACAAGACCTTCCCTAAGGGCCGTTTCTCCCAGGGAGGCCCTTCAGTAACTTCTCTTCCTTCCTTCCTTCCTTCCTTCCTTGCCAGGATTCCAGCTCCGCAAAGTAGAGGAGCAGCGTGAACAGGAGAAGCGAGACGTGGTGGTCAATGACGTGGCAACCATTCTTGCACGCCGTATTGCGGTGGAGTACAGTGATTCTGAGGACGATTCGTCAGAGCTCGAGGATGAGTGGTCTGATTAAGTGCCTGCCTGCTCTCCAAGCTGTGAAAGGACACTGGAAGACAGAAGTCCACATAGCATCTTAAATTGCCAAAACATGTTTCCACTTTTGTCTCTCATCCAGTAACCAAAGATCAGTGCACCAAGCTTCCAAAACCTCTTTTTCCCTCCCCCAGTAGTGGAACTTGTGCCTTTTTCCCAACAAGAAGAAAAATGAAACTAACCCCAGATCTCCAGATTCTCAGGGTCCTATAAAGAAAAAAAAGTATGGCTAAAGATTTCTCTTGGATGTGGAGGAAACAATTTTTGTAAGACTTATAAATGTAGGTCACTTTGTAGCCGAGAAGTGTTCTTTAAGATGTCAAGCATCTTGAAGGGCAGTACCCCTATAGACAGTGCTCTTTTCCTTTACAGTTATATGTCTGGCATTGTTAATACTCGGCTGTAAAGTGATGACTCGTTATTCAAATTGGGAAATGGGCCTAAATTAATATTTCTATCCCACCCTAGAATGCTACCTTCAAAACCTAAAGTTGATGCACAGAACAGTTGGGGTCTTCTCAATAGTGATCCACCTCCCCCACAAGTCCTGTTATGGCACTGTGTGCTCCTCCCAAGACTAGCAAAAATGACCCAGTTGGACTCGCTCTTTTTGAGTAGTTCCCATACTTCCAGGTTCTCAATAAATTGGTGAGAACACGCCTCACATAAGACGCTATTATGGGCATGCAGCCATTGGAGTTGTAGGCTCTCGGTCCATTTGGGGAATATAAACAGATCAGGTACCTTTTAAAATTATAAAGAGAGGACACTTTATGCTAGAGACTGAACAGCAGCAAATTAAGCCATTATTAGCTCAAGCGCTCTACCTCTCCTGATATCAGATGGGGGATTTCAGGAATAAAAGGTATCTACTGATGGACCCAAGCTGGTCATCCGTAATATCTACCCAGTCTGCCTTACTAGCTTGTTTTAACCAGTACCCTGGTTTTAATTAGTTCTGAGATACCTTAACATTTCTGTTAATGGAGAAAATCTTCAGATCCCTCACCCTCGAATTGCAAGGTTGGTTTATGGAGAGCAACTATTACAATGGAGATCTTAAGTTTTACTTTAATTAAGCACCACGCAACAGTGTTTGATATGCATGCCTCTTTCTAGATGGGCCTTTTAAAATAGCTTCTGTGGGTTTTTTTGGCAGAATATCAGAGGGCAAGTCCGTACATTTATCTGGGGATCCTGGTTACTGGAATGATGCTGGCTGCTCCCATAATGAGGATTATGGGATTATGCATGGCAGTCAGATGTACTTCTGCCCGTTTTTCAGTCTGAAATTATTCGCTTTGCTCTATGCTTTCTCACCAGGATGTACCTTGTAACCACTTGCAAACACCAAAGGAAAGATCCTAATGGCAGACAGGTTACCTTGTTTCTTTCTGCCTTGAAGTTCCACATGTTTATTACTTGTCCATTTTTAATAAACTTAGAACTTCTGATGCTAGGACACAACCCAAGCATAATGTTGTGTCCAACCAAGGGACCAAAGTATCAAAAGCAGGCTCAGATTTGTCTCAGCTGGAAGTGAGGGTATGGAGAGAATCCATGTCCAGGCTACACTGGGAAGCTCCTCCAGACATTCCCTGTTGTGGGTCTGGTGCTTCTGCGTGTGGCACTGGGCAGCCTTAAGCATATTATTTTTGTGTGGGAAGAAAAAATGGTGATAATGTCCTTTCTGGGGGATTTAAAAGCCTTAAAAAGCACTCTTAAATCTTAGAACACAAGATTCTTACTGGGCTCGTTTGCCTCTCTTCTGCTCTGCTCCTCATAAGGAAAACGTTATTTTAGAGAGTATGGTCAGGGAAACTGGATGCTGCTGTCACATGTATCCTGGGAAGTGCTGTATCCACTGTGACGTGGCGCACAGAGTTTATGTTCAAGCAGTAGCATCAGCAGCTGGCCTGGAATGGGGCGAAGTGACCTTAGTCTGTTTTGTACTGTGCCTTGTTTCTCTTCCTGGATTGCACCCAAACCTGCGTTAGGGTTCAGAGCGGGTACTTGTGTGGCGGGTTTCTTAGTTGTGTAGGGACAAATGGGACATCCTGCAGACTAGGATAAGTAACGGTGGTTACCCATGAGTACCCCGGTGCCATAATTTCATACTGAGGATTATGGTGGTTTCCCATTTCCCACGTACACTGGGTAACAGCTTCACTTGAGCTAGTTATTGAGTGAACATACACGGGGCAGGAGGGTGTTGGTGCAAATCCTTGTGTAATGCAGAGTGAAAAGAGCTGCTCAGCATCCTGTTTAGACTTCTGGAAATTTGATAGCGGTCCTCTTTCTGCTGCCCTTCAGACATAAATTTAACACGCATGCGAACACACGCAAGTTTTCAGAATAAAAACCTTCCTCCTGAATCTCAGTGGGACTTGCTTCTGCCCTGTTCTAAAGAGTTGGAATGATCTGCTTTTACACACCGCTTAAAGCAGGTGCCCTGAAAGAAGAAACTGGTTGTGGTGATTGTATCCTTCAGATGGCAGGGCAAGCTGGCACAAGTTCTGACCAGCCAAACTAGTTGCATGCTATCAGGCATGTAATGGGCCCTGTCAAATATGAGCACCCCATCCCTTTCTTGCAGTTCCAGATGGGTAGTAAAACAAGTTTATTGAGTCCTCTTATGCAAAATAAAGTCCTGGGATTATCTAGGACTGAAGCTGCTATTTGCCAGGGATTATCTCCAAAGTAAGCTTTATTCAGTCATTTTGACTAGAAACTTTTGTCAACCAGGGGTATTGTGTGATTCTTGACAGTTGATTTACTTTGGGGTGCTTGAATTCTGCTTAGCATTAGCTGCATCCTAAAGAAGAGCAAAAACGGCTAGTTGGTTAAAGCAAAGGGTAGGGCTATGCTTGCCTTTTCTTTCCGTTTTTCAGGTTTCTTGAGAAAATAGGTTAGAAAATTGGTTTGCATTCCATGTGATCTCCATCACTTGCTCTGCCTGCATTGTTATTTTTACTGAACTTTTTTTTTTTTACTCAAAGGGGTGGCCCCCTTTTTAGACTTTTTCTGGCTTTGGTTTTTAACTATTCTTTTTCATTGTTCTGTGCGCTACTTCCAGGCTGCAGCTACAGGGTGCTGGGTCCAAAACCTCTTACAGTCATTGAACTTTCGCTGCTTTCCTTCTCCATCACACCTGACCGAACCCAGGGTGCAGAGCCCTTAAGAGTTACCGGATACCACACTGGTGTACTAGCAGCCCTTGGGGAAATCCAGGTCGCATGCCTGGGCTAAGGGGACAGTGCCCTTTAACAGACTGTCCCTGCCTTCAGAAACTCTCAAGCAGTGTGGTGTTTGATTTCTTTTGTATGTAATTTTTTAACAGAATCTTGAAGTGTGGGGAGAGCTAAGGGTCTGGGGTTTTGCTTTTTTTAATTGCCGCTTTTAACATTCATTTAATTGATTTCAAAAACTAACTTTTTTTTAGAATGATAGATGATTTGTGTAAGTGCCTTATTTCATACTACAGTTATATTTATAAAAATAATTATTTCACATGTATCATGGGGTGGACCCAAACAAAAGATTGAATAGTGAAGGAAGCCTCCTTTTTTCCAAGTATGCACACCTGCCTATCCCTAAATAGTTGGTTGATAGTGAAGAGATATCATTGCATGTTCCCTGGTGTTGGTGGACGAAAACGGTTATGACCGGGGTGACTTTGCTCGTACCAATGGGAAAGGCTGTTTTTCAGACCCAGAGCTGGTTCATATGCCCTTGACAACTAATACAGTGGTGCCTCGTAGTTCAAATGACTCTTAATTTCAAACGATTCAGAGTTGGAACGTTAGGAGTCAAGATAAAATCGCTCTGCAGTTCGAACCATGCTTCTAAGTTGGAACAGTGAGCAAAGTGGAAAAATACGGTTGCAGCAAAAATGTCATCAGTTGTGTGGCCAAGTCAAAAAAATATTACAGTAAAAGTCACAGTGCCATTAATCCCCACCAAAATACTCACCTTTGCTTTGAATATAGGTGCCCCGTTCTTGCCACTTTCTGAAGCAGTTCTGGAAGTCTTTTTTTGTGAGTGTCTTTAGTTGTGCTGTTGTGGATTCGACTTGAATCAATTTGTCTTCATAAAGAGGCAAGAACGATGGGATGTGTTCAAAGTGAGGGGGAGTATTTTGAGGGGATTAAAGGCAATGTGTCTTTTACTGTAATTTTTTTTATTTAAACATTCATCATATGTTTTGATCACACCTCATATATAACCTTGAACTTAATTTGTTTGGGAGGCTGTATTTGATGTTTTAAGTGTACCAGAATATTTAGGGTTTGGGAACTAACTGATTCACTTTCCATTATTTCCAGCGGGGAAAATTGATTCAGCGTTCAGATGGCCTCCTGAAATGAATTACGTTCAAATTATGAAGCACCACTGTATTGTGATCTCCCACGTACATGTTTTCTCCTGTCTGCTGGATGTGAACCATGCAGAGTATAAGTTACTCCGTGCCCAGGTCCACATGTTACCATAGGCCTGCCTTCCCCAGCTGGGTGCTTTCCAAATGTTTTGGACACCCATCAGCTGCAACTAGTGTGGCAAATGATATATTCTGGAAGTTGATTGTCCAAAATATTTGAAGGGCAGCAGGTTGGAGAAGGCATTTGTGTGAACTGGCCCTTAGGGTAGATCCAAAAAATGTGAATTTACCAGATGATACTGTAAGGACTGCACACTTCTTCAGTTCTGAGGCCAGTAACATGTATGTTTGCTGTACAACCTGTTTGTCAGGTGCCAAATTCTAATTTGGGTCAGGAGGGGGAAGTAGCACCTTGACTAAAGTAATGTAACTTTCTTTTGGGTCTTTTGTTCCAAATTTGGCCTTCCTTGTTCATCTGACTGTCTCTGCATTTCTTAATCCAAACTTTTTTTAAAAGCATTGCATTTATAATCTCTTGAGTCTTGTGTGTCTCTCTCTTCTGGAGGGATTTTTTGTAATGTATGTGTACATGTGATTAAGAAGAAATACTTTTTACCATGTAAACTTTAAAAAAATGATAAATATTTTCTGGCCAATTGGAGGTTGTGTTCATGTTACTTGGAAGTGTGAGGAGTCCCGTCATTGCTGGGCGATTTTGAAGGTGCTGTGACTGAAGGCCAAATCAAAGTTTGCAAAAATAAGAGCCCTGAAGAACAAGAGCGAATGGGTAAAGGATGAGGGGAGAGCCATGGTGATTTTTTTTTTTTTTTTTTTTGGTGTGGTTTTGTGATTGCAGCATGCAGTAGAGCTGGGGGTGGTCCGTCCACACACCACTGGAAAGAGCTTCTCGGAGCTTTACCAGAATGGAAATCCTTGTGGCTTTTGCACACAGCAGGAAGCTTGGGCATTGGCATGGGCCGGGCCAGGAGCAGCAAGGAGTTGTCTTGCTCTTGCTAAGCCACTCGCTAGGCACTTCCCAGTATCCATGTTGGGGTCAATGACCTGGGTTTGGTCAGCATAACAATTCACTGTGGGTGCAGCAACCACCCCCCTCCAAACATGCCGTGGCTTTTTGCCCATGGACAAGCCACTCGGTGGGAAATGGTTGAGGTTTGCATGACTCAGGAAGACACTGGGTTTTGTGTGAGCCCAGTGATAGCTCTTTCTCCCATTAATTCATTGAATTGTTTTTCAGGAATGATTCAGAGGCATGTTAGTGGATTTGTGAAGGCGACAACTGCATTGTCAGAATAGGGTGACTGTACCATACTGGTGTGGTCAAAGACTTGGTGTGCTGAAGTTCCACTGGTGGCCTGTAAGTTAACTAAATCTTCCTGTTGATGGTAATGGAAGGACTTGCTTGTTAGGCTGGTGTCAGGTTGGCAACAGGCAGTGCTCGAGGTTCCAGGGCCCTGACAAAGCCAGTCACCAACCTCTTGGCCTGTTTAGGAAGAGCTTCTGGCCCCATCTTCCCCCTCCCTTACATCCTTAGCAGCTTGCCAGCGGCAATCACTTGCATTCTGAAGAAATAAGCAAATACTCAAGGCCACCTAGCTGTTGGGGCTCTGGTTGCCATGCAGCAGAGAAGCCAATACACCCCAACATCTGGCACGGTGTGCCACTGTGCCTTTAAAAAGTTCTGAACACCTGATCTCCAGAGGAGCCACAGGAACTTGTGTCTTGGTCTGAAGGTGGATCTTGCCAGTGACATCCTGCCTCTTAAGTCCCCAGGGCAGCAAAAGCAAAACTTCAGGCAGCTCTGAGTGAGTTGCCTCATGATTGGCTTAAGGCATTGCAATAAGGAAATAGCCCCGATTGCACTCATGCCGAGTTGCATAATCCCAGGGTGTTGTCTGAAAATTGGGGTCAAGTGTTTCGGCAGTACAGCAGTCACCTGGAAGTATGGAGTGATTCGAATTGTGTCCATCCATGGGTCCATCTGCCCTGTTGGGTGCACTGTGCTGGTCTGCACATAACAAGAGACCAGGTGGCGGGGATTCCCTCTGGAGCTTTTTACTGCAACAGCAACAAAGTATTTTGAATATTTGGGACATGGTGGGCAAGCCTGGAGAGGGTGTTGGCTTGTTGGGATGTTGACAAGCTCCCCAGGACCCACAGGCTGTTTAGGGTTGTTGGCGGCCTGCCGAAGTCACTCAGTTACACTGAAGAATCCAGCCAAGGAGCTCACTAAGCCGTGTGAAGAAACGCTTCCATGTGTGTATCTTGAATCTCCCTCCATTCAGCTTCCTTGCATGAAGGTGCTAGAACAGTGGGGGAGAGACTAGAACCATCTCTCTCTTCACAGCGCAGATAATTTGAAAAACCTTTGCATGTTTCCTTGTCTTTTCTTTAAAGAAAACTGAAAATCCCTAAACTTTGTAACCTTTACACATAGGGGTGTTGTGCCAGCCCCCTAAATCATTTGGGATGCCCCTTTCTGGAACTTTTCCAACAAATTGGCAAGGAAATGCGAAATGGAAAATGGGTAAGAACCATCAGAAGGAGAAACCTCATGGATCAGATTCTATTCATACAATTCAGCTACCCAAAGGATTCCAAAGCAGGATATGAGTGGAACAGCACCCTTTCTACCCATGTTTTCCAGCAGCTTATTGTCTCTGCCACTGGAGGTAATAACTAGCCATCAAGACTTGTCAAGCCTTTGGCAACTGTCTCTTCCATGAATTTATCCAATTTTCTTTTGAAGCAACCCAAATAGGTGGCCATCTCTGCATCTTCTGGAAATGAATTCCATAATCCGTGGAATTTGCACCATAATCCATGGAATTTGCACCATGGATTTTTGTAAGGGCAGCATGATCTTTGACCAGAGGTGTGAAGGACATAGGAGGACTTCCATTCGTAGAGTCAGGGCCATCTTAACAGCATTATGGGCCCCGGGCAAAGCAATGTCCTGGGGCCCCTACAACAACTGCAACTACTGTTAATTTTGGAAGTTTTCCAATTTTCCAAGGGTTAACATACACAGATTAGTATGGGGCCCACAGGCAAGTGCCCATCAGGCCCATGCATTAAGACGGCCCTGTGTAGAGTTGTCATAAGTTGGAGACAACTTGACAGCACAGAACAAGTAAGATCTTGGCAACTTATTTTCAATGCCTATTTTTTAATTATATTTATATCTGGCAAGCTACTCAAGGTGGCTTAAATAATTCCCTCCCTTTATCCTTACGACAGCAACCAAGTGAGATAGCTTGGGCTGAGACTAGCCAAAAGTCACAAAAGCAAGCTATACCTACTCGCTCTCTAAATATACCTCACATGCTAGATAGAAATGATGGTCATAGTTAGAAGGAACATCCAGTGTTTGTTTGCTTTCCTTCCTTTCTAATGGCATTTATGCATTCATATGCTGCCCTCTACGCCAATGGAGTCTCTGGGCGGCTTACAGCATTTAAAAATAACATGCACATTAAAAACTAAACCTGGTAGAATAAAAACACTGAATAGTTAATATCCTAGAAGAACCAATGTGCACCTAGCCACACAAGCTTAGCATAACTTAAGAGCCCTTGCTATCCTTTTGGTCTTGCATGACTGTTTAGTGCAATTTGGTGTTGCTGTATCCACTACGAATGTTAACGAGCAGCTACTGGGAAGCACAATCTGGAACGGGGCCACATGGGGGTGGTTCTCCTTTTCTCCTCCCAGGCAATACTGTGGTCCCAATACAAAGGTCCCAGTGCTGCTGTGATTGGGCACAGAAGAACAGCTACTATCAATTAATAAACGAAAAGGTTTAATTGATTCAGTCAAGTGACTAAGCCAACAAATGCTCTTAGCCCAATTTAAAAATCGATTCCAATTCCAATAGTGATTTACACAATATTTAAAAACATTGCAACCATCCATTAATGCAATATGAAAGCAACATCACAGGGGGCTGTTTAAGCAGACCGCCTGTCGTGGTATTTTTAAAAGCCTGCCAAAGTGTCTTAAACAACCAAAGGGTTTTATTAAGGGCACAGTCCTGTGCATGTGCAGGCAGAGGTAAAAGGTAAAATTTTAATCCTGGCTCAGGATGCTTCATGCCTCCCAAATTCCTGTTTTCCTACCACTTTTGTTTGCCGTAGCCACATAGGATTGGACCCTAAGTTGTTAAAAACTGACGGAGGTCCTTCAGGTGGCAGATTTCGTAAGCGCCCTCTCCAAAGACCTGCTTAATTTTCTCTTTCCAAGGTAGTGTTTGCAAAACAAGGAGCTTTTGCTGTTTCACTCAGACTAGCGAGAATATTCTGTTCTCTCCTGCACTGATGTTCTTCCTCCGCTCTCTCAACTGCCTTAATTCCCCCTCTGGGATCGAGGCAAGATGAGGTAATGCCAGCTTTGATCAGCGTTCACCGAGTGCCTTCCAACCATATTAGTTGCCCGGTCAGCTCTCCTGCTGCCTGAATTGTTCAAGCATCTGTGGGATGCAAGGGCAGTCGGGATGTTGGAAAGATGGCGTGGTCAGTCGAGAGACGTTTCAGCTGGCTCTCATTCCCGAGACCTAATTCTCCATTCTGCTCCATGCCTCCCAAATTCCTGTTTCCTGCCATCTTGGGATTTTGCAGCCGTTTTAGGAAAGCCCAGCTGAGCTTGTATAAAAATGGCTGACATTTTTACTGTTGACTCCGCAGCTGGGTTGTCGGAAGCAGAAATGGCCTTTAAGCCAAGGACGGCTTTGTTTCTATCCTTCCGCCCTCCCTTCTCCTCGCTCCCCAACCTGTTTGCAAATAACCACAGGCTGCCAGAATGAAATAGGAACTCGAAGCGGCTGCTGTCTGGCAGCTCAGCAAAGCTCAACTGCTTAACAAAGGCCAGCTCCTGCGGGCCGGAGGCTTACGGCACAGAGCCTGTCAGATGCCGGTTCTGTGCAGAAGGGCCAAACCCAGCCAGTGGCACTGCGCTTCGGATGCGACACCTTCCCCTCACTGCCTCCAGTGCAAGATTTGGAGTGGGGAGCTGGAATGCAGACTTTTGGCTACCGAACAGCTGGGCCTGCTGCTGCTTTGGCGGTGGCCAGATTGCGTTTAATCGTGGGCTGTGTCAACAAGAGAGGCCCAAGCAGGCCCAGTGTTTGCTATTGTCTTTAGCATTCGATCATGGCGGGAATATTTTGCTGCGACATCCCTTTCCATTTATATGTGTGAGGACAGAAGGAGAGACATCCTGCATCTAAGCATGGGTCCATCCAGTCCTGCGGGCTAAATAGAGGCGCACCAGAATGCCACAAGCAGAGGAGGAGTGCAAAGGCACTCATGCACCCAAGTGCCCCAGCAAGTCGTATACATGGGCATACTGCCCTGGCATTGGAGGTTAGTGTGTGGCCATGAGGACTGGTAGCCATGGATAACCACCGCCTCTGTGAATTGCTCGCTCTCTCAAAGTCTTTCAGATTAGTGGCCATCACTGCATGTTGTGGAAGTGAATTCCCTAATTTAATTATGTGCTCAGTGAAGAAGGACTTCCTTTAATCACTGCTGCATCTCCCACCGATCTGCTTTATGGAATCACCCCTTTGGGTTCTAGGATTATGAGAGGGGTAGAAAAATGACTCCCATCTATGTTCTTCACGCCATGCATAATCTCGTAC